CCCCACAGAATAAATGCAGAGAGAGAATAATGAACCCAGCTATTGGGGTTTGCTCAGGGCCCAGGAAGAGTTCAGCTGGTCTCTGTCTGGAGCCATTGCTGCAGTTGCAATTGTGCTGCTTAATTATGTGCAGAAGAAGATGAATCTTGATATCTTCCCACATCTTTTGATGCATCAACCAGCAAACAAGAGCGATATTCCCACTGCTCTCTGTCCCACAGGCAATGCTGTTTGGCAGCAATTTCCTGTAGAAATTTGCCCTTTCCTTCAGTGGTCATCTCCCCCTTGCTGACACCTCACAGGAATCCACAAGTGATCACTGTGAGCTAAACAGGGTTTCAGTATAATATATTACTCTCTATAAATGACTTTCATTTCTCACCAATAACTTCCTCTTTTATACCATTAATTTTTTGCATTTCCTCTAATATTTCTCCTCTTAATCATTATTAATGTAATTGGTTTTAGACAGAAATATTATTTTTGTACCAACTTTTCTATGGTGCCTTGTGAAACACAGCTGACAGAAGCCTTGACTTGGTAAGAATTCCTGTTTTTCAAAATTAGTATTGTTATGTTAGCTCAGCACTGTATTTAAATTGTTTTTTGTTACAACAGGTCTCACTTGGACTATTTGGATAGTTCAGTATTCTACATGGCGAGGTGGAATTGCACTAATAAAATCAAGCAGCAAGCACATTTCATCTGCCATTTCATTCTTTCAGTGCTTCATAATTAACTTTAGCCAAAAATTACCCTTTTAAGGCCAAGGGATTAATTCTCCCTTAACTATATATTTGTGCATTATAGAAAAAACAGTCATCCCTTGGCTTCCTAGCCTTGGATGAGAAATTCACTGCATTTTCAACCTACAATATCTGTGGATGAATTCCAGGTGTGTGCTTGCCCCTCATGGAGTGAATTTCATGTCTGACTTATTTTTACTTAACTCTGGGAACAGAAATACCCTAGAGCAGGTTTCCAAGCTGCAGCACAACCTGGACATTGGGACTTCAGGCAGCTCTGCCCCAACCCCACCCCATCCCCAGCTTCCAGCACTTGGCATTTTAACAGCATCCTCCTGCTTCTTTTATCTTATATTTCATCACCCACCTTTTAATCCTTTCCCCTCAAACTATTTTCTTCTTCTTTATTCACTGGCTAGTGCAGCCTTTATCCCTCACCTCTGCAGAGTGCTGATCTGGTGTTTGATGGACAATTTCTGTTTGCATCTCTGGCATGTACTTGTTTTTTTTTTGAGGCATGTAAATAGAAAAAGGCAGGTGATTCCTGCCAATGTCAAGGAGAGGTTCTCAAGGCAGCCTCTTGACAAGTTACTTGGGTGCTACTCAAATAATCCAGTGAGAAAAGGTCATATTGAATTCAACTTTTATACATAAGCAATCACATTACCATATGTCAAAGGCACCAACCTGCTCTAAAAAGCGTCAATGCAGATGAGTGCAAATATTTCAATGTCCAAACAAATCTCCCAAGCTTTTCCCCTAAACTATTTTGGGACGATACCAGATGGCAATGCTAAACATCCCAAGTATTTAAAATTAATTTGGATTTGTTTGCTTTCCTTTTCACAGCTTTTGACCGGTTTAGAACCCAATGAGCAACAACAAATACATTCAGGAGTCTACGATTTCTTCAAATATGTAAAAGCATGAAGAAGTTCACAAAAGTAAATCAAAAACTTGTCTACCATCTCTAGTTTTTAGGTTACTATCAAAGAATATTCTAGAGCCTAGGTAGGAAACGTGCTGTTAATTACACCCTGCATTAAACAAGACATTAATGAGCCCTGGCATTCCTAGTAGAGTGGTCACTGAGCAGGAATGTCTTGGGGCATGTGAGTCTGCAGCAAACTCCAGTGCTGGCTCCAGCAAGCACAAAAGCAATTCTTGGAGCCTTGAGAGGGGCTTAGCATGTCAGGAAAAGGCTGCACATATTCCCACTGGGATTCTCTCCTAAACCACTGCAAAGGTGTTTTAAAAGGACACTGAGCCAAGAGGATCCCCAGGATGATGAGCACCTGAAAGAGCAGCTGATTTACCAGTACAGCTGAATTATGAAAACCATTCATCAGCCAAATGGATAGAAAGCCTGGTGAGAACAAGTCCTGTCACTGTGTGACACACAGGTGTGACTGCAGGCATGCCCTGTCCGTCCTACCAGGGAATCAGTCTGTCTGTCCTGCCAGGCCATCAGTCTCTCTGTCCAGGAGAGGAGGAAGGCAAGGAGGACATCCAGGTATCCTCACTCCCAGGTGTGACAGGAGCAGCTGGTCTCCTCTCTTTGTGACAGCTGCCACCTCATTTTGGGATCTTAACAGAAGAAGAGGAGTGGGCACTGACACGAGCAAAGGGAGAAATCCCCGAAGGATCATAATCCTTGCTTTAGGATAGAGATGGAGGCTGGTGCTGCCTGGGGGCACCTGCAGCAGCTGAATGTGCACTTTCCACCCGAGAAGTTCAGCCTAAGCAGGAAAGAAAGCAGTTTGTTGCAGAAAAAGGTCTTTTAGAGGCAAGCCAGCTACTGAGGGTGTGATTTCACTGCTGCTTTCCCAGCAATGTGTGACAGCTCAGGGCCCATCTCATCCAGTCCCATTTCACTGCAGCATCTTTGTAAATAGGCAAGAAGGACACCTTATGCACACACTCTCCTATCAAAATAGGAAGGAACCAAAATATCTCCCCTCAGAGTAAGATTATTTTCACTGTTAACTCTGTACTGCCCCCAAAAGGCACCGTTTTACCTAAGAAGCAGCCACTGATGCAAGATGTAGAGAGAGATGGATGGATCTTGGTCTGGGGAGCAGTAGAGCATTTGTTCTTGGAAAATCTTGCTTTCCCTACACACTGCCACCACTGGCTCTTTTCTCCTCAGGATGCTGTAAAAACATTTCTTTTTGCCAAGATAAACTTGTCAGAAGCACACAAAGTATTTTAGGACCTTGTGGGATTTTTTTTCCTCCAGGTAAATTCTATTCAATAATTTTCCTCAAAAAAAGTACAAAAACCACATGAGATTTGGTAAGTTCTATTAAATAATTTTCCTTTAAAAAGTATAAAAACCACAACAGATTTTAAAGGATTTTTTTTCACCCAGTCCACTAATTCGAAAGGAAATCAGTTACCTAACAGCTTTCCACATAAAACAAGTGAAATAACAACATGAATTTAAAGCAGATCAAATATACTGAATCAATCCCTTCCATGGATACTGCCATTAATTCATTTCAGTTTCATTTAGTTCAATTTGCGTTGGAACAGAAGCATAGTCAATCAGGTTAAGGCTCTTTCAATTCACATTTTCCCCCTCCAATATGACATCCTACATTTATTTGGATTTTCCCCCCCCCTTCCCATTTTAGAAAAGTCTTAAATCATCACAAACTTGGACCTAAATCTTGCTCTTTCTTTGCACTACTCAAGACCTGCTTTTGTAAATTTTGGTTATGGTAAATTTTGGAGATGCTACTGGGTATTTTAACCATGATCTTGCAGGTTTTTGGGTTTTTTTTTTAAATGAAAATGTCAGTAAACACAGGCTGTGCCAGAAAGCCTTTGTCACCTGGAGGTCACCTAAAAATCCATTTGCAGGAGCCTTAGCTTGGCTTTTCCAGGGAAATGGAGAGCCTTGCCCCACCACTCCCTGCCCTCACATCTCCTTTTCCCCACAACAGCCCCTGCCCTGCCAGCTGCATGTCACAGTGAGTAAAGACCACATTTCCTCTTTTTTTTAAAGGAAGCAGACCCAAACTGGGAAAACCACGAGGCAGGGTAAAGTCACAGCCTGGAGGAAGAGAACAAACTTTCCTAACAAACCCCATCACGCCTCCACTGCTCCTGCAGTCTGACAGGTGATCCCCAGAGTGGGAAATTGGAACAATTAGAGGGTTTCCTGGGGGAAACTCAGAGGTAGAGACAGACCCAAGGGAAGGCAGATTCTTCCTCTTCCCTGGTGACCTAATTGGGCCCTGGTACCAGAGCAGGGAATCCATGAGAGGGGCTCTCTCTCAGCCCCCTGCACCTGCAGTAAACCAGCAGCACTCGTGCTCAACTTCAGCTGGCTCAGGGTTGCTCCATCCCCAGCATTTTCCAGCGAAGGAGAGCTGGCAACCCAATATTTAAGGACAAAATGTCCTTCTGCTTTTTTTTTTGTGGGGGTTTTTTTGTAAAATATTTCTCTCTCTTTTTATAAGGAGGAATAATTTGAGTATTGAGGCAAACCCCTACAGCACTCTTGGTCAGAAAATATCAGGAGATTCAGTCATTAATTTTTTAGGCCATATGATTAGTATCTTTCCAGAGGCTAGTCATTCAAGTTAACCTGTGGTGCCACACTATTTTTTTTTAAATTATTAAAAAAACAAGAAGAAGTAAATATAACACCCAGCCTTAGATTGAGGATTAACAACCAGAATGCTGAAAAAAAAAAAAAAAAAAAGAAGTAAATATAACACCCAGCCTTAGCTTGAGTGCAGAGCTGGCTCCAGGAGCTGTGCTGTTTATTCCCCCATGGCACAATGCTGTCAGCAAGTGGCATCTCTGCAAGTGTCAGCAGTTACACATGTGCACAGCTGTGCCCTGTGTAGGTCAGGGAGGGTTTGCAATTCTGCAAGTCAGATAATACTGGACAGCATTATCCTTTTGCCTGCTGCTACTCCCTGTGATCCAGCACAGCCTTCAGCACCTCCCTGCACAACCAGGAAAAGATTACTCCATTTTTTTTTTCCAAATGCTGAGCCCAGGGTATGCAGAGCACATTGCAGAGCAGAAATGCTGCTCTCATGACCTGTGATTGCCTTTAGTTTGGTCATATCGCATGTAAATATGGCAGGTCCCTTCCCTTCCATGGCATCCTCTCTTGTAATGCCTTCCAAAGAGAATCCCCAAGCTCTTTTGCAAAAGCAGAAATTATGCCCAGCAGTAAGCACAACTCCAACAAGGCTCCACTGAGTTACCATTAAACCATATTCCAAAATTTACCTTAGTTCCTTGAAGGGGTCTGCCCTGACATTGGGAGTTTCTATAGATTTAGGGAACACTGTGCCTTCTGCTCCTGAAATCACAAAACAAAACAGAAGACAAATTGTAAACATTATAAGCTGTTATCAGGGGAGTGATTGTCAAATCATACCTAGGTGCAATTTAACCCATTGCCTGACCCCATGTCATTCTTGCACATCCCTTCTGTCCCCAGAAAAGCCAGACCTTGTTCATCTGCAATGGGCTGCCTCGATTACATGTGGGGTTTGCCTGTAAACTGCACTTCTGGCTGGAAAAGTAGGTGCTTGCACCCCGACCTGGGAAGAGTCTGCTGACCCAACTGATGCAGGGAGCTTGGAAAAGACACCCTTTGTAAGCAGGCATCTAATCCAGCTGCATCCCTCATGGAAGAACATGGATGCACGTTACAACATCATTTCTTTCACTGGGCTCTCAGAGATACTCAAGGGAGAAAAGCAGATTTTGACTTGATCCCTGCAAACACCTCTCCAGTCAGGCTGTACTCCTGCCTGGGGAAAAGGAGGAGCTGCACCCTCATGCAGGGCAGCACAAGCAGACCCTGGCCTGTCCCAGTCTGGCCACCAGCTCAATATGTGACCCAGAAATTATTTAACTTCTGCTCCTTCCCCCTTCTCTCAGAGACAATGGGGAAGCTGCACTGCCCCATTTGCTGACTGGCTTTGGACCTGTGAACTGCTGGGTACTACAAACTGCTTGTCAAATTCCAGACCACTGCTATCCTCTTCATGGCCACCTGCACAGCCCAGTTGGGTCATTTCACCCAACTATCCCTGAACTGGGCCCATATTTTGTGACCAACCCCTGGTATCTCTTCTCTAGAAAGATGTTCTCTCCTCACACCATTGCTGTAAGCCAAAGCCCTGGCACCCTCTGGCAACCCTTTCCACTGACTGTTCTCATTTAAAATGTGCATCTCATCTGAAATGGTCTCATTTAATCTTTCAGCCATTGAATCTTCTCGAGTCCTCGTGTGCCAACCAGCCTTGCATGAGGAGACTTTAGTCAGACACCGATGGTGACCCAACTCCCCCAACCTGCTCAGATTCTCTCAGAAGTTCTGGGCTTTCTGAATCAATCACTGTGAAGCAAATCCTCTGGACTTCTCACTGGTTTGTTTTTTTTTTTTTTTCCTGAACCTGTTCTACTTTTAAAATACCCTGTTGGAGCACAGGAGTCCCCAGGTGCTGTCACTGACACTCTGCTGCAGAATATCACGTTCCTGCTCCCACTGAAACTTCCAATTAAAACACAGCCGAGAGTGGCACTAACTGCCTCACACACAGAGTGTGTGCACTAGAAATTAATGTGCCTGTTCTCCAATATATAGCTGCCAAGCCAATGAGCAAGTATGACCTATATTCTTAAATACAAACCTGTGGTCTTGCCTTCAGACCCACTGTGAACAATTAGTCACTCTTTACTTGCAGTCATCACAGCAATTTCAGTGTCAGCATGCAGACAGCACTGGTGGCACTTTTTTATTTCTTTAGATTTTAGTTTGATAAAGTTATTGGTGCAAACTACAGATCCTGATGAAAACTTTTACATGTACAGTTTGAGAGCACTCCTAACACATGCTGTTGTAGCTGTTCCCTGTGTGCAGTTTGAAAGTCATCATTACAGAATAACAGATGTTCTGAGATGGTCCAAAGCGTGTCAAGACAACATCCTGCTGTAACTGCTGCCATAAGTGAGAAACACCTATGACTGCAGTATGACTCCACTTTCTTTACACTGAAATAAATTAACTAAGCTGTCCCAGAGTGTTAAAGAAAAAAAAAATCAGAATGAAAACAAGCACTCTAACATTTATAAAAAAAACCTACCCAACTCTTTTTAACCCCGAAAAAAACATAGTAAACTCAAAGATTATAAAAGCAGTCTAAAGTTTGAAGGTTTATACTTGGGGATTGAAGCTGATCCTATGGCACAATACAGATATTGAGCTTTTAACTTTACCATAAGCTTTCATTGTTACAAGTTGTCATAAGCAGCTGTAACTTGCCAACCATGAAGGTTGTTACTATCAGATCTGTCCTCTCTCAACAGTTTCCAAATGATTTAAATCTCTGCTTTATCCAACACAATTGCCTTGGCTCTTGGCTTTGCAACGAAATGTAGCAAAACATCCAGCCTGCACTTATCTGCATAATGGAACAGTGATTTTTGAGGGAAGGAGGATGAGGAGGTGCAGCTGGAGAGATGCACTCAGATATTCTTGTACCCCTTCCACCCACATGGCTTAAATGGTGACTTTATGCTGGGTATTTTAGTTAATTTTTAGACACCTTAAGTCAGATACTCAAGTCATGCAAACTCAAAAGAACTACTTGCCTTAAACCAGAAGTACTTGCAGAATAAGGAGAAACTTTAACTTATTTCTAAACTTGGGGTTTTCCAGGCTTTTATTTTTTAGATTAAATGCAGGAAGCAACTTTGGAATCAAGGTCAATGAAAACCCCAATGCAGTCATTTCAAGAAGGCTGAAAATGAAAGAGCTGGGTATTCATTTCCTCCATTTTCTTGTTTTCCCTTCCTTACACAGTTCTCAAACCCTCTTTTCCTGTCTCCCTTCTTGCCAGATCCATTAAAAAGTCCCTCATGCACTGGGAACAGGAATGAGATTTCCAAACCTTTCTGTTTCTCTCCTTTGATCCGAATTTGAAGTGAATGCTACCTGCCTTGATAGGGCTTTCTGCCTTGACTGTATAATTCATATTCTTCTTTAATAACACAGAATCTCTCAAAGGGCCACCTGTCTCTGTCACTGAGCAGGACACCAGCCACGAGGGGATGCTGAAGGACCAGGAGTGAGACATCCCTCCCTTGGCTCTGGCTGTCAGTAGCTGAGGGCCCCCTGAGTAGGCAGAGTAAGTTTGTCAAAAACACTGATAAACTTCCCTCACCTAATCCTCATCCTAAGTGTCCCCTTTCTGTAGCAGGGGGCTGATGGATGAATTAAACACTCTGGGGAAGTTCTCCCTTTGGTTTCACCCTGCTGCCTGAGGATTTCACTAAAGAACCATCGTCTTTTTTCTGTGCTTCCAGAAAAATTTCTGTGCTTCCAGAAAAATTTCCAGAAAATTTTTGGGAATTTTCTGGACCTCAAACATGCCCACTCCCTCCAGCCCCCCCTGTTCTACACTGGAGAGTCTCAATCTCTGCCTGGGGGGGAAAAGCTGCCTTGGACTAATTCAGCTCCACTGGACATTTGTGTCAAAGTCTGGCTTTTGGCCACTGTGGAAGTCCCCAGCCAGCTCTGACAGCACCAGTGTTGGATGGTGTTGAAAGTGAAGGCTGGAGGAAGTGACCTCATTTAGTAGTTTTAGAATCACACAATCACTGATGTTGGAAAAGACTCCGCAGATCATGGAATCCAACTGTGACTCAAGGCTTTGGCAAAAAAAGGAAGGAAAGTTTGAGGGAAATGTGCTGCTGTCACTGAATTGGGCTATTCCACCTCTGCTGAAGGAAACTGGGATGTTATGGAGTAACAAATGACTGAAAATATGAAGTCCAAGTTCATGTGCTTAGAAAGTAGTAAAAATTTCTTTTACATGTTGGAGGCTTCCAAGATATAATATCCCTGGATAAATACTGAATGCTGCTCATGATTCATGGCAGTGTGACAAAGGGAAGGCAAACACAACATTGAACTGAAAGGCAAGAAGAAAGTCTAACAGGAACACCAAAAGAGAAAGGAAACCACATCATTTTAAGAATCATCAGTGAATCCTCAAACTATTGTGTGCCCCCACTGCTCACCCCCAGAGAGGACAAACTGTCCTGACTGCAAAACCAGAAATCTATCTGTCCTGTTAAAGAAGTCTGGAAGGAGTTGGCTGTGTGGCTGAGCAGCATGATGTGCTCAGGAAGGGTACTCATGCTGTGCACAAATACATCAGGAGGGTAAATAACACCAAAGGAAAAGAACCACTTTTTTTTATATGTTTGTGTGAGAGCCAGTGCTTATATGAGTGGCAGTAAACTGGTCCTGAGTCTATTTGGGAAGGAAAGTGAGGGTTTTCTGGCCAAAAGAGCAATGGGAGCAGCTTTTCACTTAGATGGGACAGACAATATGACAGATCTGAGAAATGCTTGATTGGAAGATCTGCTGTCCCAAAACCAAGGGGCAGTACTTTCAGGACCAGCAATTTCCTTCTAGTCTTGCATTACTCTAGTCTTATTTTCACTGTCCTCTACCTGAGAAACGATGGGTTTTGGCAAATGGTATTAACAAACAGCTCCAACAGTTCAAGAATCAGCTGCTACAATCTCCCTTTTCAATCAAAGCTGCTCTATCCCTCTTTTACTGAGTATAAAGCCAATGTAACCTACATTTATTATTGTACAACACAGCTTCTGCTTCCTGAATTATCAGTTATTAAAACATTTTCTATCTGCCATGAAAAATGCATACAGAAAATTTCTATTTCATTGCAAAGTACTAATTTTTTTTGTTAATCATATGAGACTCTCTGCTGCTGCTAAGGGTAACTTATGTGCAATCAGCCAAAGACAGAAGAAAACAATAATATCATTTGGATTTAAACACACTGTACTGTACATCTCTAGGCAATAAATTATTCTTTCTCACAGTATTATATCAGAGAGGCTTCCATTATACTGATTCCCTCTTCTGACACTGTGTAATTTACCACCGATAAATGTTCATAAACAGTTTGACTGAAAAATCCATAAAGCCATTTCAGCTTTATTTTAAGTCCCATTTAATGTCCCTCAAAAATGATTTCATCAATGTGTTTCCATTAGCTGGTTCTCTGCCCAATAACTTAATTCCATACAATCAGTCGGGAACTTATACAGCATATGACAGGATCAACCTGAAATATTTTGAATCACCATAAAGATTCATTCAGAGAGTATTTTGGGGTTTTGGGCTTTTTTCCCCTGTTGCAGTGCATAAGGTGTGGGGTGTCAAAGACCCCTGTATGTGTTCATTTCATCCAAGAACAAAAATCAGGACTCTCACGGCAAGAGAACATTTCCAGTCCAGTTTTATGGTTTGGA